TCTTCATTTCAATTGAAGAGAGTACGGTTCGAAATTCACAAAATTATACACATCTACCATCTCTAATGGTCAGAAACAGTATTATTTAAGCATCCATTTATAAAATCCGAACATAAAATATAAATTGGATATGATATAAAACTAGTATTATATTATTTCTTCTAATGTTATATTTGTGAGTAGAATCGGAAAAGGATAAACCTACCAATAATAATAGAAACAGAGACTCTCTGAAATTGCTCGACCTCACGTGGGCAGTGAAAACCAAACTGACAGCAGGAATAGTTAAAGCCCTGGCCTGCCTGCCTTCACCATTACCAAAGAACCAGACAAACATGAGTTGATCTTTTCGAAGCATTTATAAAATTTTGTGTCCATCAAATAATATTTCATACCTACATTTTAACATATATTCATTGATGCCAATTAATGTGTTAAAATTGTGGGCACAATTAATTCTTGGGTAAATCACCATTTTTGGTCACTCAACTCTACCCATATTTATGTTTTGATTATTCAACTTTTAAAATTTTAAATTTCATCACTTAAATTAAAATTTTCAGTAATTTTAAGAACTCGACCGTTAAGTTTCTAACGATTACACCAAAACAATGTGTTTTGAGTCTTTTTATTTCTATATTTTTCCTAAAATTTTAACACGCTTTTTTATGGCCGAAAATCATTTTCCCTCGTTGTTCAATCGTTATCAACCATTGTTTTTGACGCGTATAGTACCAAAATGTTTCTTTTTATCTCATCATTCTTCATCTCAAATTAGATTTCCTCAATATTTTATTGAAATTGAAAAAAAAATCAAAGTTTCAATTTATGTAGGTTTGATCTACGATCTCATCGTTTAATCAATTTGAAATCCATATATTTTGTATTTTTCATCATTCCCAACCTTCACACCATATTAGAAGAAAATTTTATGAAGTCAATGAATCAAAAAGAGTCCAAAATTTTGAGTTTAAAAGGAAGTTTAAATTTTTTTTACATAAATTTAAGAAAAAAAATATACACGACGATAATAAAGCTAATAGTCAAGTGATCAAAATAAGTGAAATTTGGAAGTTAATTAATAAAATTAAAATTTTAAAATTAAATTAATGAAATAAAATACATGAACAAAGTTTTTTTAGACTAATCAGAGGTGATTACAAAGTTCCTTTTTTTAAACTTCCAAATTTTGATTCATTGATGTCATAAAATTGTAAACTTCCTTTTTATTGGACTAGTATGAGGTGATTATAAAGTTCAAAATAAAGTACATGAACAAAATATATGAGCGTTTAAAATAAATTTTTTAGACACTTAACCATTTGATAATAAAAGCTCATATATTTCTATAGACGTGTTCAAACTCAAAACCTTAAGAGATAACAATTATCCCTTTAACCATTAAGTTCACTTTATTTATACAAATATTCGCCCACAATTTTTTCTCTTTTTTTTATTTTGAATAATACCTACATAGGAGAGAGAGAATAATTTTTTTAATAGAAGTCGTATTCTTATTAAAAAAGTGAAAATATCAAAAATTACAATAAGGGTTTACAAGTGTTTACAACTACCATCGTAAATTAAATACATAATTTGGACATTTTCTTATAATATCGAAGCTAGACACTTTAGATCATATAAAGACCATATATAGAAAATGTTAAAAATCTAACCAAAAGACTCGAACAAAAAATAGATACGAACAAATTTGAAAGCATCGATAAATCACAAAAGGGATTAAGTTATTGAAAGACCACATGGAATCAAAAATCAGAGTCAAGCGTGAGAAACTATCCACGAACGCAAAATCACGTATCCAAATTCAATCCGAATGTTTATAGCATGGAAGATCAACATGATTACAAATAAACACCATCTTGATCAGTCGTGGTGTCGTCAAATCCAACCCTGAGAAAATATAAAATAAAAAGAACGGTCAAAATACCGAGAAAGAAGACGAAAAACGAGTCACAAAGGTAATGAAAAACGTGCCACAAAGACAATGAAAAACATGCCACAAAGGTAAAAAAATTAAAAAAAATATAAAGAGAGAAAAGAATCGATGGTTAGCAGCCAATATTAAAATCGGTTCATCACTGACTAAACAAAATTAAAGAAGAAAAAGTTTATCTGATATATAAAAAAAGGAGATTCTTTGTCTTGCTTTGTTATTTCTTTTCCAATATTTCTCTTTGAATACTAATATGGAGATGTGTAAATTAATATATGATGTAATGACAGTGAAATAAAGTAATTTCACATGCATTTATGATGATTTTTAAACAAAACTATATTAAAATTCTAAAAAAACGAAGAAAGCATTTATCATTCTTTTAAAATATTTATGAAATTATTACTTTTATATATTAAAAATAAATTTATTGTCTATAAAGCCTTCTTCAATATAAAGATGAATGCTTTTATTTTTTGGGTTGGAAGAGAAGATTGAAGTCATACAAATTGGAGTGTTTAAATTTAAATCTCATCATATATAAATTATGTGTAAATTTTATTTATATTTATATTTATATGGACTTAGTTTCACCATATCTTTATGAGCGAAGCATATAATATTTTTTGTAGGAGTTAAAATTGAATTATAAAATTTTGGAGAATTAAAATATAATTTTATCATTATATAAGTATAACTTAATAATTTTATATCTATATAAAATTCAATTTCATAATTGCATTAACTTAAAAACTTTCAACTTTAAAGGGACTTATACTATAATATTTCCATTTTAGGTCTCTGCCTACCCCTAATTAGTCCTCTTAATTTTTGGCTTAATACGCTTTTAAGTGCCTAAGCTATACCTCAAATTGACTTTGGTGCTTAAAGTATTTTTCGTTAAAAATAGGTGTCTAACATTTTCACTTTTACAATTTTAGGTTTCTACTGTTATATTTTTTAATTTTTTAATAATAAAAATAGTATTTAAAAAATTCAAAAAAAAATAGAACTTCCTTGCAACGTCCCTCTACCTCCCATCCCCCACCTCTGACAACGACGAAGGGTCACCACAAAATGGGTTTTGTTCGGAGCAAGGCGAGGAACTCAACGATGGCGGTCGTGTAACGTACGATCAACTGTACTACTTGGAATAGCTGGAAAACAACGAAGGAACTTAGAAATTTGTCGACCCTTCACAATGTTTTTCACGACGATCGATGTAGTTTCACAGTGAGTAGGAGACTGGGGTTTGGTAGTGATGGCGAGACGGTTGTGATAATGTCAACGATGATGGTCATGGGCCGATGGTGTCCAATCGACGATGAAAAAATAAATTTTGTATTTTTTAATTATAATATTAATTTTTTTTAAAAAAATATTTTTGTAATTTTATATGTGTGACACTTGACAGATAACAGTCAAATTTAACGCTATTACAGTCCAGACAACTAAAAGTATAACGTTGGAAACGTTAAACACCTATTTTTAGCGAAAAATTATTTAGAAACCAAAATTCAATTTGAGATATAATTTAGGGACTTAAAATGTAGGGTAAATTATAAGTTTCATCACTAAACTTTACTTTGTCTACTATTTTGCTCACTAAACTTTAAAAGTTTTCAATTTCCTCATTGAACTTAATATATTGGGTTTTTTTTCACTCCACCGTTAAATAGTTAACGAAGTTAAAACGACGTCGTTTTAAAAAAACAAAAGTTTCACCAAAACGACATTGTTTTATATCTATATAACAACCCATTTATAATGCCGTTAGTGAGAAAATGATTGTATGAAAAAAAAAATCTATTGTACTAAGGGTCTGTTTGTTTGCATGTAATTGGTTTTCCGGAAAATGAATTACTGGAATTTGAATTACTGGAATTTGAATTTCTGGAAAATGAATTACTGGAATTTGAATTCTGGAAAACGAATTACATTTCTGGAAAACATCTGGAAAACGTTTTATGATGTTTGGAAGATGTTATTTAAACATTTTTTCCACTAGTTGAAGAGTTTTTTAAAAATTATTTATTACAAATATTAAATATAATAAGTAATATTATTTATCATAAAACTTAATATTATTATTTTAAAATATTAAAATAATTTATTTATTATTAAATATTATTTTTATAATTTTTTTAATAAAAATATTAGTATTGGTATATTTTAGTGAAATAAAATATTATAAATTATATTAATTATTTATTAAAGTAATAGTGCTATATTATATTTTAAAAATATTAGTATATTTTAAATATCTTTACTAAAATATTATTGAAATATATAAATATTATTCATTATTAAATATATAAAAAATTTATTATATTATTAAATAAAAATATAATATCTTATATTATTATAATATAATTAATTATTTTATATAATATTAAAAATATAATATTATATTATAAATATTAATAAATATATTTTAAATATTTTAATAATTAATATTTTGATGAAAATGATATTAAAATATTTTATTAAAATTAAATTCATAAAATAAAATTATTTTGAGTATTTTTGCTTTGAAGCGAAAAGTTCGGAAAATGACTTACGGAAAATGAATCCGTAAGTCATTTTACAGAAAACACAAAGGAAATTCTGTTACTAGGAAAATGAATTACATTCCAAAAAACGAATTACGTGAAACAAACACGGGAAAATGTTTTCCGGAAAACAAATTACGTGAAACAAACACAGGAAAAAATTTTCCGAAAAACGAATTACGTAAAACAAACACAGGAATTCAGGGAAAATCAATTCCGTAATTCTAATTACGGGAAACAAACAGACCCTAAATTCAGTAAAAAAACTGAAAATATTTAAAATACAATGAATAAAATAAGAGAGAATAAAGTTTAGTCAACAAAGTTATAATTTACTCTAAAATGTATTAAGACTTAAATTGTTTTTTAATCTCTGTAACGGTATCGTTTTCTGCTTAACAGACACATCATTTAAAAATATGACATTGGTCTGTCTCTGTCTTTGACTTTGACTTTTAACTTCATCCCGCCCTATATAACAACAACAACAACAGAAAAAAGAAAATAGCAAATAACCGAAAGAATAAGGAAAAGTAAATGGCCGACATGTGAAGAAGATGAAGAAGAAGCAGCTTTGAGGAAAAAATGGCGGAGCTAGGGTTTCAGGACCAAAGCTCAGCGAGATCAAATTACATTGCTCGAGATTCGAGCCCCGACTCTGTTATATTCACTCGGGAGTCCCACTTCAGCGTCTTCTCTTCGGCTTCCGATAGCGTCGATCGCTCCTCTTTTGCTTCCGACGCAGCTCGCGACCACTATTCTCTCGTTTCCGAACTCTCTTTAGTAACTTCTCCATCTTTTAACAAGTATTTTTTTCATTATTATTATTATTTTCAATTTTAAACTGCAATGCATAAGCAGAGGAAGCTGTAACAGAGTTATATTCTGAATTTGAGATTTGATCATGGTATCAATTTGCATGCCTTTTTCTTGTTGGATTAAATAGTTTTTACTTTGAAAATGGAAAAACAGTAATGTTCGAAATGTGAATTATTTTGTAGCATTTGGCCGGGCGTGAAGGAGGAGATCAGAATGAGAGTTCGAGGGGAACAGTTCCAGCTATGAAGGTCCATAAGCCCAGTCGTTTCTCCAGAAAAGGAGAAAAGTTGAAAGGTATTCGCAATATTTGCGTTCGTTATTAGCTTATTCGGAAAATGTTTAAATTGAAACTGCACGAAAGAAAAAGAGAAGAAAACGACATATATTTTCGTTGTACCCACCTCCTTTTTTTCGTTTTACGATAACACGCAGTTCAACAAGCAGAGAACGATGCTGGTCCTCCAGAGGACGATAACCAACTCATAGATTCAGCAAGAAATTCGTTTTCTGTTGCTCTTAAAGGTACCTTCTAGTTTCTTTTTGAACTTGTTTCTATAATTCTTTTAGCTTTTTGTTTTCATTCTTTTAAAATAAATAATAATCGTGAATATGTTTTTTCTGTTTCTTTTTCATTGTTTAGAGTGTCAGGATAGAAGGACCAGATCTGAAGCTTTGTTGAAGAATCATCATAAGCGAAGACAGCCTTCTTTAGATTTAAATAATGTTTCCGTTTCGTCTCCGCGGTTGGAGGCTGTGAAGAAAAACTCGGTCGCAACACGAAAATCAGGTTCATTTCCTAGTCCTGGGGCTCCCAATTATCATCATCATTTGAGTGCTGGAATGCAGAAGGGTTGGAGTTCTGAGCACGTGTCATTACATAATAATGGTGGAAGGAGGCAGGGGAATGCGGCCGCAGCACTGCCCTTTAACAATGGAAGGACTTTGCCTTCAAAGTGGGAAGATGCTGAGAGGTGGATTTTTAGTCCTGTTTCTGGAGATTGTGGTGTGAAACAATCCATTGCTCCTCCACTAAGAAGACCAATATCAAAGAGTGGTCCACTTGGTCGTCCTGGCATTGCTTACTATTCATTGTACTCGCCTGAGATGCACATGCTTGATGGGGGACATATTGGCAATTTCATGGCAGGTTCTCCTTTTTCAGCTGGTGTAGTTGCAGCTGATGGTTTGTCAATTCATTCTCGTAATCATGGGGGAGGATTTGCCGTTCGGACTGAGCCTTGCATGGCCCGTTCTGTTAGCGTGCATGGATGCTCTGAAGTAGTCAAGACATCATCCTTGTCTTCTCAAGGTACGTCTTCTATCATAAACATCATCTGATCTAAAACTTAAAATCCTTTTTACTAAATGTTATTTCTATACTTTTGACAAATTCATGAACTTGATGTTACAGCCATGAAATATTAATATAGGCTATTTTCCAAATCTAAACCTGTGTGTTCTATTTGAGAGGGATAGTTATTGTTATGGTAATGGCCGAGCATATTGTACTTGTATATACCCTTACCTTCCATTGCTTTTTCATCAAAGATGCCGATGAAAATCTTGATGCAGTCAAGGACGCGGCCACTGATATTTCTCGTACTGTTTCAAGAAGAGATATGGCAACCCAGATGAGCCCACAGGGTAGCACTCACTCGTCTCCCAAAGAATCGCCTTCCGTCTCTCCCTCCAACTCTTCTTCTCTACCTATCATACTGCAGAGCATCCATTCCTCTAAACCAGAAGTGAGAGATGTGCAGGTAGATGAAAGAGTCACCATGGCTCGGTGGTCAAAGAAGCAAAGAGCTCGAAAGACTGCGAAGAGTTCTGAAATTGTTGATGACTGGAGAAAGAGAGCTGTTGACAGTCGCACATCAATCTGGGATATGACAGAGACAGCAAAGAACATTTCCAAGTACATCTACTTTGCTACTGCATTACCTCTGTTTCTTTTGCTCGTTTGTGTCATCTTTCTAGGATTTAGATCAAAACTTTAGAAGGGACTGCTTAAACTTAACATATACAAATGTTTTTAACACAAGGAAAAAGCTGATGCAGTGTATCAATATCAGAGAATATTGGGAAAAAAATCCAAATGTTTCCAGAACTGATTTGGTCGATATTCACACTTCAACTTCTTTCTTTTACCTTTGCAGGGTCAAAAGAGAAGAAGCCAAAATCACTTCATGGGAAAATCTGCAGAAGGCAAAAGCTGATGCGGCCATAAGGAAACTAGAGGTTGCTTTTCTCTTAAGTACTCCATTCTCAATTGAAGTAATTGTAAAGGGATGTCTAACAGTCTAAGTAAATTATCAACATCGATACAGTAAAAATAAAATTCTCCCCAGCAGTATGCTTTTAATATTTCTATCCTTTACTTTGTTGAAGTTATCATGTAGTATCTTGATGAAATGGAATTCTGTAGAATGCATTACCTGCCCTTTCTCCGGGAAAAAAGTTTTGCTTCTATTTGTGTATTAACTTGAATATGGTTTGTTAAGATAAAACTACTGAAAAAGAGACAATGTATTTCAGATGAAGCTTATTCTCTTCATCATTACTGATAACAATGTATTTCAGATGAAGCTGGAAAAGAAGAGAAGGTCATCACTAGATAAGATAATGAATAAGCTGAGATCAGCTCAGAAGAGAGCCGAAGAAATGAGAAACTTGATGTTAGCCAACCAGGCTCATCAAGTAACAAAGGCCCCGCATAAGGCTATATCATTGCGCAGAACTCGCCAGAAGGGTTCATTGAGTGGTTGCTTCACCTGCCATGCATTCTAATGCCTCACTTAGCTATCATTTACTGGTTCAATCAGTCCTGAAACGACAGGTAACTTCTGTTAGGAAGAACAGTTTCTTTTCAAATATTTTGTTTTGTTTTACTTTTTCATTTTTAAATTAAAAGAAATGATGGCAAACTGGTTGCACAATTGGGTGAGGGTTTCACTGTTTTACATTTAATTCACTGAATGTAGGAAATGGAACAGTCTCCAATGTAGGCACAAAAGCTTTATTTCCTTGCTCAGTTAGTTTTATGCTTACATTTTTCCTCTCATCTCTTACCAGTGTGAGGATCAAAGGCCAATGGGGAAGATGAATATTGTACAGGAAGCAACTTTTATATTGATTTCTAGTTAGGTGTCAACGCAGTTTTGCTTGAATGAAGCACCATTACCTCCAATCCTTGAAGCTCATAATCCTGGAACTTCAACCTGAATGTTTGACTAATAAAATCCTTTACTGCTTGTATGTATTTATGCATGTAAATCAACTTTTCATGTCCTTTTTTCATTATGACAGTTTGCCATCGAAATTGAAATATCATTCATCTTTGTTTTCCATATTTTCTCACAAGTAGATGCGAATCATTTAGAAATACTTCAATTGGATTAAATAAGAAATAATGCATTAGTTACATCTTTGTCTATAAATCTGCAGTATGCTATAGGTATTGGTTACCATCCCCTACCAATCAATAAATCTACTTTCATATATCTTTTCTTGTTTGCATATCATGTTCATCATATATCCTTATTGTGATTCATATTATGAGTTTTGATTGAATTATGCTTCAGTCTCTTTTAAGTTGGTCCAGGGGCAAGGTTCCCAATCGGTTGGAATTGACATAATCTGTGGACATATGATTTGACGTTCCAGGTAATGCAAATCCTATTATCCTCACAAGTGTCATAAGCCAGGTTTCCTTGTATTCTGGACCCTTTTTGTAAGGCAGAATGAAACTCCTAATAAACTCCCGAACTGAATCCATCATCTTTGGAAACGTCCATAGCCAAAGGTAGAAATTCTTATCAGGTTCCTCTGCCAAAACCTGCAATTCAAATATATAGTTCAATAGCCATACATGTCATCCTCTAAAAATTTTAAATTACCATAAATTTTAGATATTTTCTTTATACCCCTATCATAAAATTATACGTCAATCTCTAATTGTAGACGCACGGACCCAAATTAATTGAATTAAACCCGGAGTTGTTTTCGAATTAGAAATAGCAGACTTACCTTCCCTTCATAGTGGCTGTTCAAAAAGATGCTGGTTCCAAAATGCTTGAACAAGAAGATGCTGTCATCGTAGGGAATCCTAGGCACGAGGTCATTATTGTAAACATACCTGTAATATTTCACGTCAAATTTGTTCAACTTGTTCTCCATAAACTCCCCAAACTTAGAGTCCACAACCCTGGGCTACCCAAAGGTGTAAACCGCTTCCAACCTCTCCAATAACCATTCCTACTCGTGCAACACTAGCACAGCAGCAAACAGTATTGCAATTGCCCCACCCGAGCTATGCCCGGTCAATAGAAACCTGGCTTTTGGGTTCACTTGCAAGACCTCCCTCAGCTTTCGTCTGAGCGTGTAGTAAGCGTATTGGCGGCAGTCAGTGGGGTGCTGGAGATCTTTAGGGAAACCATTGTTCTTTTGCAAGCCTAGAGCTTGCATAAAACCACATGGGTCTTCCCCATGTGTTTAAGCTCATACCAAGATAAATCGAGGTCCAACGGCACGTCATAGGGACTCATTGGTTCGGTGCCTCTGAATGCAACCACGATCAGGTTTGGGTTAGACTGTGTGTCTTGCATCATGAAGGCTTGGGTTGTGATACGGTCATCGAAATCTGTGAAACAGATGGCTAGTATTTGAAATATTGCAATAGTGCAAAAGAAAATGAAAACGAATATATATATATATTGGAAAAAGGGAATGGAAATTGAAAAGAAAGAAAGAAAACTATGCCCTACTAACTTGCATGTGGAGTTTAAACATAAGTAGCATCTAACGCACCGTTCCAGAATTCGTAAAACTTCAAGAATTTCATCTGCAAAACAACTTTAAATTGTCATTTTCTTTTCACTTTAAGAAAGTAAAAGGTTCAATTCAATCCATAATTTTTTAATGAATGCTGATAAATAAATTCATCAATTAATTTATATTGAATATTACCAATACGAATTATGAGGACTGCCATTTTTTTAAGTATAAAAAGAATTATTATTTTTGTTCAAGTAAAACACGATTGATCTTTTTTTTTTAACTTCTACTAGTATATATATTATAATACTTGATGATTGACTTAAATGTAAATATATATTATAAAAGAAAATACCTTCCAATGTTCAAATATATTGGTTTTAATGTAGGCTTCATTCTCGTACGAAAACTTGGCACACATCAAACACAGCAACGCTTTATATTTGGCGTCACCAGGTTTAATGTTGTTGTCCAATTCAACTTGAGAATCGGTAAATCCGACCATCGATATGAACTTGGCCGATGATCTATAAGGCCACACTAACTTCCCTGCACCATTAAGCCTCATCTCTCATTGTTCTTATGGAAAAAAGCTCCAATTTTGGGCATTAAGATATTGTGTTACCTGTGATAAGTTTGAGAGGAAGGCCAAATAGACCGCAGTTCAATGATAAAAGGTTGAGAGACATCTCGATGGTGTGCCTCGTGAGTAATAAAGGTACTCTCATCGTATGGAGGAGTTTCTGGAGAACGGAGAGGAAGATGACCCATCTACGAACAAAACTTAGGTGATACTGCCCTGAACACTCAATGAAGCTTCTTTTTCCCAGTTTAGAGGAAAATAGTCGGCCAAAAACTTCAAAGTAACTCGCATCTGCCGGTCGGATGATGAAACAATCGTCGTAAAAATGATTCTCGTTACCAGCCATTGCAAACTGAAGAAAAGAGTTGTTTTCTCAACTGAATATTGGATTTAGCTACTGGGCTGTTAATATTTATAACCATCAACTGTGAAAGACGTTTAGCACAAGGAGAAGAATGAAACATAGAAATAGAAAGGGTTAACTAGGTTAAATAAATCTAAAGTCTTTTTCACATGGTTAGAGTTCGAATTTTTTGAGTTGGATCCAATGTTTAGAAAGTCGAGTAAGAGATTGAATTGTTGAAGTTTTATGTTTTCAATTTTGATCAGATTTAATAACACTTCTTCTTGAATAATCTAACGTAGTTATAAGATATTAGTCAAGGCGAAGCCTTGCAATTGCAAACGTAAATTGCTCGAACTCAAATCTTTTAGGGAGAACGATATCTCTTTTATGATTGATGTCACTCAATATATTCAATTTATACACTTTTAAAAAAATCAACTTTTTAATACTTCAATGAAATTTGAATCTAAACTATATAAAAAATTATTTACTGAATCATCAAATAAAAAATTTGAACGGATAAACCATATAATAGTCAAGACAATGTTTTAGAATTGGGATGGCAACAAAAAATAAATAAACAAACCAAATATTTCTAATAAAATAATCCAAGCCCAACCATTACACCTAACATATTTTTTTTATTTAAATATATACTTTTTAATAAAAATGACTATTAATTTTGGATAACTTGGGTGAAAAGAGTTCAAAATTAATATTAAAATTTAAATAATAAAATATTAAAATTGGTTCAATTTATATATAAAATATTTTTTTATATTCGCTTTATGGTTCATGTAAATTAAACTGGATATGTCATCATCTCTTCAATAATATATTTTTTTAAATTAATCATTGATATCTAATATATTGACCGACTAATCTAGATCATATACTGTAGAAGCGAGGGCGATCCTCCCAATCCAATTTGTTCCATTTGCAAACTTCAGGGTTCAAACCTCTAATATTATTTAAGAAATCTAGTGACTCATCACACTAGACCAATTGATTGTTGGTTCAATAATATCGTTTTAAATCTTTGAATATGGATTTTCTCTTTAGAAATACTAAACCAGTTCAATTTTAAATGATAATTTATTAGTTTGAAATTTCATAGTTTCTGCATATTATCGGTTCAAAAAAGCCACAATTCAACCAATTATTAATGTAATTCCATTGAAAAGAAAACGAAAAGCTTAAATAGAAGTTGATTTTTGTTTTAGGGTAAAAAATTTTGGGTGTGTTATTAGTTAATTCAGTGTTGTACATAAGATTTTATCTGTTTATGTAACCACATGCATTATGGATATCTAACATTTGTTAGACAAAATTGTTAATCCGAGATAAAAATAATAATAATAATAAATATTCACTACAGCAAAATAGAGTTTTAGCGGCGTTTTTTTAGTCTTATAGCGGCATTTTTAAGCGCCGCTAAAAGTATTTGCGGCGATAGGAAAAACGCCGCAAGAAGCGTCGGCAATACCAGCGCCGCTAAAGTTAGCGGCGTTTGAGAACAAAAAACGCCGTAATAGGTCAATATCTATTACAGCATTTTTTGAACAAACGCCGCAAAAGGTTGATATCTATAGCGGCGTTTTTAGAATAAACGCCGCAAAAAGTTATGATATATAGCGGCGTTTCTAGAAAAAACGCCGCAAAAGGTCAGATCTATAGCGGCGTTTTTGGATACAAACGCCGCAAAAGATAAGACCTATACTGGCATTTTTTTAGAACAAACGCCGTAAAAGGTCAGACCTATAGTGGCGTTTTTGGACACAAACGCCGCAAAATGTCATACCTATAACGGCATTTTTGAACACAAACGCCGCAAAAAGTCAGACCTATAGCGGCGTTTTTGGATACAAACGCCGCTAATTACCTTTATTTAGCTAATATTAATTGATTTTGCACATTTCATTTCTTCTATACATCACCTAAATTTATATCTAGCTTTATCTAATTAACAACAACCATACATTTTAATTAAGACAAAAAACATAAAGAAAAATTCTTAACAACAAAATAAATTAAAGTTTTTTTATGGAGAGAGAACCTTAAAAGACATTAAAGTATAAATGAGTTACAACTGAACCTCAAAGTGTAGATATACATGGATTTGTTGTTCGATACATTCTCAATTTCACTAGCGCCATCATCATAACCTCCAGATATGCCTTCTAAAGCTACTTTGTTTCCCACTTCATTGGAATTTGTCATATTCATCGTCTTGACATCTTATTTGAAAGTATCATTTGACAGTGAATGATCTCTCCTCAATAGATTAAAAACAAATGGGAAACGCTGTGCCAGTCTATTGAAGAAGCCGCTTTTTGTTGAAGTTTGTTCTTCAAGATTACTGCAATTACAATAATTTAGATGAGACTAAGAAGAGAATGAAACAACCAGCAGAACTTGCATTCATAACATACATGTGAGTGATTGAGAACTGAAAAAAGATGTTGCAACAAACAACAAAAACAGGAAGTCAGGAACCATGAAAACTAAAATATATTCTACATAAGAATGTAAAAAATGTCATCATAAAGAAAAAATTTAATAATGTATTGGTTGCCATCTTACTTTTAGAAGTTAGAATTCTTACCCCAAGAATCTGAGCAAGTTTGTATTCTTAGAAAAGTTAAGGAAATACAAAAGAGGGATAAGCAATGAAATCTTATAATTTTGGATCAAGAAAGCATGCATGTCTAAGTCCCTCAAAGTTCATAGGGAAAACCCTAGTAGGTTCAATCATTTCAAGATTGCTTCATGTGCCTTTTGATCCTATTCATGATCAGTAAAATAAACAAATGAATCAAGGAACATATATTTCCAGTTATAACTTTGTACTATAAGAATTTTAGACGATAAAAAGAACTCAAAAAGTGAACTACTTACTCTTAGTAGTAAAGGAATGTGCCAAATATTTGGAACGTCATAGAGAGTGACAGTATTTTCGGCCTAGAAAGAAGTCATATTTCTTAATAACAGTAGTTACTGATTTAGGAGATGGAAGAGAAGCAGACAAATAGAATTCATGTTTCATTACCGGAACATGGCAAAACGGAGAGAGCTTTAACTTGACATTATCATCAAGTGCCTATTGCAAAAAAGGGGCAAGTGAATGAATAAGAAATGTCAAATTAGCACTGCTAGATACAGTTGAAAAATATAAATAAGGGTAGAACCATTGTACTACAACAAGCAAGAATATTTGGTCTCAAGACAAGTCCTCTAAGTCCCCGAACACTGTGCTAACAAGCATGTTCCCTCATTGCTTGATTCTTCTGAATTCCTTAAAACGAAGAATTATACCATTACTTCAAACCCATAAGGACTGTACATATACGGAGTGTAATATGAGTAAAAATGAATGAGTGTCTGAGAGAATTGACTCCACGATATCCTACAAAATATGACCTGGTCAGCAAAATGAATGAGTGTATCTACGAAATTAAGAATGAAATATCACTGGACTAACATATTTCAAAGAAGTAAAAATAAGCACCAAAAAAACTTACATCCATAATGTCTGAAATTCCAGGAATTCCGGTTAAGCTTCCACCAACAGCCTTCAGAGTGTAATCAATTCTAGGTTTTGGCTGATAGGGTTTATGACAGAATCAGCGATTTCCACAAAAACTATACGACTTCATTCTTCGGAATTTTGATTAAAGCCACTTATAAATAGCATTTCATAGCAGAAATAGAATGAAAACAAATAAATTTTGGGGCTAGCAAGCAAAAAGGACACCTACAACGCTGGACATCTTCATGTATAGGAATCATCTATACACTTCAGTAAAAACTATATATAACCACTTCTCTTTCAGAACTTATTCTTCTCCAGATTCAAGACAATCTTACAACAAAGCAAGCCACATGTGCCGTCTATTGCACAATAAAATGTTTTTGTGGAACATCCTGGAAAGTTAGTTAAACCAAAACATCTATACAAATCGAAGCCATTCAGAAATTACTTATTGTTACCTCAGAAAGAAGAGCCACGACGAGTGCTGAAATACAAGGCATCTTAACAGTAAGTTGGAAAATGATTCGAACATTGGAGAAAAACTGAAAATCCTTCAACTGCATAATGAGGAAAGCGATAACAGGAAGCCACAAAAGTACCATCTCATAAGATTCAAAATATAAAGATGGAAAAAATAACATCGTATGCTATAGTGTTTGAAAGGTTGTGCATGACAAGTTTGAAAGGTTGTGCATGACAAGTTTGAAAGTTGTTAATGCCCCAACCTGAATTGGTATTGAAGCAACATGAGTATCAACCTCTATAACGATATTTGGATCACCACCCCACCGAAAATCAATATCCATCGTGACTTGACCTTTCTTAACGCTCTGCACACGAATACCTGCATTTTCCATAAGTAACCAGGCAGGTAGGAATGCTTAAAAGGACATATATAGATATGCGGCATACATTTACATAACATGTATAAATGAATCCTTGGGATTAATAACATGAAAAGTAGCACTGGTTGAAAGACGGCCATAACAATTGTAAATGGATCTCCTTGATAGAAGATGAAGTTACACCAAGAAAAATCTGTAGATTTATACCTTCAATCTTCGGAGCTATAGTTCCAAGGGACAATTTGCTGAACTTCAGTGAATTAACTCCTGTAGGTCGGTATTCTTCCAAGATCGGTTCAACAGATTCTTTGATAACAGCTGATGCTGCCTGAAAATAAACAAGTTAAACAATATTTGGCTCAAAACTCATCACGGCGAAGCCATTTAAACATATCAGAGGTTTTTAACTCTTCCATTCATTTACCTTTAAAAAAAACAATAAACAGGAAAATTCAATTCCGTTTGTCCACTATAAAAGAATATTTAATTACAAGCCGCGTATAGAGCATTGTCATTATTTTCACTTCAGAAAACACCATAGGTGCATAACGAAGTGCCTAAATCTAATCTGCTATGATGGAAAACCTTTACATGAAAGCCATATTGATAGTTCCTTTTACTTGCATAGTAAATACTCTGAAACTTATAGCAACAAGATACAAGAATAACAAGTAACGTACCTCTGCAACAAAAGGCCATAATTTTCTCAATTGCTTGTTCAACCATTTTGCCTAAAAGAACCAACATAGTGTGACTGTAAGCAAATACATTGCATGAAATCTTAATAAAGAAAACGGGAGCACATTTTTCTATACCAACACATACAGATGTATCTATTATTTGAAGATGTAATCAAGAGAAGTTTGGTCTCAACAAGTTGAATCAAGTGCGTGGAAACTTAATAACAATCATAGTAGCCTAAAAAGGCTAAAAGTGCCAATTAATCTAACAGCATTACACATATCTGTTCATAGACAGGGAATGATATCCATTCAGGATAATTATCACCACAGATTTTCCTAAGATCATCTCTACTGAGAGACCCAAGAGTTCTTATATCAATTGCCTGACAAATAAGACAAATATAAAGGTTAATAAGCATTTAAAAAGACTAATGCAATCAAAAGTTTAAAATTGACCAAATCAGAAGATCTAAATTACCCTAATGAAAAGTTTCGTTTCCATTAAGACGAACTAAAGTGCAACCCATTACCTAACTGAAAAGGCAGGGACATATGCTTCTCCCGTTTGGGTAAACGGCGGGATTGAAAAATGCTTGAAAGGGAAAAAAATGAAAAAAATGTTAAAGGGCGCGACACTTAAAATTTGTAAACTTGCGGCGTTTGTAAACACAAAGGCCACTATAGTACAAATGTATAGCGGCGTTTGAATAAAAATGCCACTAAAGTACGAGTCTTTAGCGGCGTTTGAATAAAAACGCCACTAACGTACGAGTCTTTAGCGGCGTTTGTATAAAAATGTCAATAAAGTACGAGTCTTTAGCGATGTTTGTATAAAAATGCCACTAAATTACGAGTCTTTAGCGACGTTTGTAAACACAAACGCCACTAAAGTATGAGTCTTTAGCGGCGTTTGTATAAAAATGCCACTAAATTATGAGTCTTTAGCGGCGTTTGTAAACACAAACGCCACTATAGTACATGTGTATAATGGCGTTTGTATAAAAACGCCACTAAAGTACAATTCTATAGCGGCGTTTATATAAAAATGCCACTAAATTACGAGTCTTTAGCGGCGTTTGTATAAAAACACCACTAAAGTACTACTCTTTTGCAGCGTTTGTTGAAAAAACGCCACTATCGATGAACCTATTGCGGCGTTTTTATAAAAACGCTGCTAAAGTTACCATTTTGTGGCATTTGCTATGTAAACACTGCTATATGTTTAAAATTAGTGGCGTTTACTTCTAAAACGCCACTAAAAATGCCATTGTAGAACAATTTTGATGTAGTGATTATTATAGAATCGAACGAAGCTAAATAAATAAAACTTAAAGTAGAGGTAAGAAATTGGTTTACTCATATTTAAACAATGAATCGGATGAGTAGAGTATGATAAACCTAAGAAGGATTTTTGTTGAGGCCTGTATGAACAGTTTCCTTAAGACAGATTTGTCCTCTTCTCGGTGCTTTGAGTAACATTGGACGTCGGTCTCCCAGGATACAACAACAAAAGATCACAACAGTAAGCACAACTGTAGTGATCAGCCGAACACAATCTTGCCTTTCTCAATCACCGGAAAGAACGAATTTGAAAGGAATTTTCTAAGTGATTTCCTAATTCAACTTTGTGAATTGTGTATCAAAGTTGTCTCTCAAAGTTGAGTCAAGTTGTGTCTAAGATTATGCCTCAACTAACTTATATATAGGGGAGAGAAAATTAATCAAAAGGTTATGACCTTTTGATGAAGAGATTTGTTGAAAAGCTAATAGATATAATTGAATTGATGCAATTTTATACCAAATAATAAGTATGTTCATCAAGTGACATAACTTATTATTAAAAGACATCAATTTTATTCAATTATTTATTAATTTTTGCAATAATCCCCCACATGAATGAAATTGATGATTTCAAACACTAACTCGATATGGTGATAAATTCTACGTTCGATATTTGCATAGGATAGGTAGGCGTGTCCCCATTTGAACCTTCCCTTGTAAAAATATGTTTACCTTACTGACTGTTCAGTAGACGTGATGTCCTTGAACTGTCCTACCATTGGTGTAAGCGATGACATACCTCACACAAATATCTCACTAACAAGAATTTGGTTCTCATGGTTATGTCCATATAGCCGTGAACATCTCCTGGTTCTGCAAGAGTTTAGAGAACTATGCCCCAATAGTCTCTTTGAAGCGACTCCACTTCACTCTCACATAGGTGACTTATGTTGTTCGGCTCACCGAAACACATAGTGGTCATTAAAAGCATTGCTTAACCTTTTCCACATTTTAGTCACTATTTTCATCATAGGAATGGACTTGGGGATAAGAACTCCCACAGTGACCTCACAAGGTCTATACAAGTAGGTTGTCCCATTGAACTTAGATCTTGGGGTCTCCAGTCAACTAAGTTGGGTTTTCCTTCACATAACGCCTTAAATATTAATGGGTTTTAGTCACATTCCTTTCGATGTTTATCAACTTGATCTCGATTCAACTAATTGTTTAGCGGATCCACAATGTTATCTTTTGATCTTACAAAATTAATATAGATAACTCTAGTTGAGATCAATTGTTTAATGATATTATGTCGACGACGTATATGTCTCAACTTGCCATTATACTTATACAAGGCACCCCCACACTTTGATGTAGTTGTAGGAGAGTTTTCTACATTTCCATAACTCATATGGTGTCTCGCCTATTTTCTTGTAAGTTACCTTATTTAAAGGTAATTTGCTAACAACTCAGAACATGACCAAATGTCATTCATAATTCTTTAGCAATCTTATGGATACTATACACTTCATATGGTGTATCTAACAATCCATTCGAGACGTAATTCCGACATAGAAACTTAGAATGCTTTCAAGCTTTAATGAATACAATGTCTATCTCATCCTCTCTATGAATAGGAGGATCATCCTATATTTGATCATATTCAACATGATTAAATATAACATCTTATGTCGCTATGTCTTGAAATTCTATTCATGAATTTCACATGCTTCTTGTTGTGGCTCACAACCACTGACATTGTTGAAATTTATTCACATTCTGAATAGGAATCAACATTTCAAATCACGAGTTAGGTGAATCAGTGGGGTTACTATTGTTTCGTTTAAAACATGTAACCAGAATTTGTAAATAATCCAACAATAAATTGAAAGTTAATTCAATTTATTTTACTATTCGTTTATGTTGAACAACAAAATTTAATTAGAAATTAAAATTTTAAAACAAAATTTGTAACAATTTTGTTACATCCAAACGATTTCTGTTATCAACAGTAAATCAGATAAATTTTGTTGAACAAGAGGATTAAAATCCTGAAACAGAATTATAGTCCCTATTTTTGTTCACATAATTGTGTTAGGTACCTTATTTATCGCAATGAATTTTAGTCAAAACTAAAATTCAACAATTGAGTAATTTCTGTTAAACAGCGAGAATTTAGTAAAATTAAAATCCCGAAACAGAAATTCACAATCAACAATATTTTTGTTGAATTTGTTAAACGTCAGAATTTAAAATTAAAATCCGAAACAAAACCAACTTATATTGGACAACGGGAATAAAACCCAAAACAGAACAAATTTTTGTTAAACGATGAGAATTTAATAAATTAATTCTCGAAACATAACTAACTTCTATTGATCGGTGGGAATTTAATAAAACTTGAAACAATAGTATAATCTCAATATATAAATATTATAAAAGAAATATTGAATGGTTACACATACCTTTTCGATTTCTTGATCGAAATTCTAATATTGCCAACCAAAATTTAACAATCAACCTTTGGGTTAAAGCGAAACGCAACCACAAAGGACAAGGCACAACTTGAATTTGAAGAGATTTAATCCAACAAGCTGACTTATAATCCAACAAGGTTTCGTAGGTATATATATATATATATATAATCTCATCACCAATAGCAAACAACTAACATGTTAGTTTTGCAAAGAGAAATAATACAGTGACCGAATATTATATGACACTTGCATTACTTTGTTCAAAGTTAATGCTTTTGAAAAACAATTATGATTTTCATGCAAGTAGAGTTGCGTACCTTGCTCCACTTGAGAATTTCAATGACACAAATTGTCACAATCAATTACTTATAAAGTTCATCTCGGATTAGAATTGTAAAATAAAATACAGAATATGTCTTAAGATTGTTAGACAAAATTGTTAATCCGAGATAAAAATAATAATAATAATAATAATAAATATTATTATATAATCGAACGAAGCAAAATAAATAAAACTTAAAGTAGAGGCAAGAAATTGGTTTACTCATATTTAGACAATGAATCGGATGAGTAGAGTATGACAAACCGAAGAAGGATTTTTGTTGAGGCATGTATGAACAATTTCCTTAAGACATATTCATCCTCTCCTCGGTGCTTTGAGTAACGTTGGACGTCGATCTCCCATGATACAACAACAAACGATCACAACAATAAGCACAACTGTAGTGATCAATCGAACACAATATTACATTTCTCTATCATCGGAAAGAACGAATTTGAAAGGAATTTTCTAAGTGATTTCCTAATTCAACTTTGTGAATTGTGTCTCAAAGCTAAGACTGTGCCTCAACTAGGAGAGAAAATTAATCAAAAGGTTATGACCTTTTGATGAAGAGATTTGTTGAAAAGCTAATAAGTATAATTGAATTGATGCAATTTTATACCAAATAATAATAAATTTGTTCATCAAGTGACATAACTTATTATTAAAAGACATCAATTTTATTCAATTATTTATTAATTTTTCCAACAACATTAACCAAATAACATACTTTTAGCATACGTGTTACAATTACTTTACCTATTTATTAATTTATTTCCTTTTTTACTTTTCAATGTATTTGATGACATGGTGAGGCATAATCTATTTAAGGGGGTAGAATTTATATTTGTAAATGAAAATGAAAGTTGTATGGATAATAATGGATAAAAAGTAGTAAAAAATGGTTGGATCCATTGTGGTAAAAACACTATCCCACTTGAGATTTCTGGTGTCGGTAAAAATCCAGGATTATAGGCGATTTTTGGCCTCCAAGTTGACAAGAATTGCTTAATGAGTTGGAGTTTGCCTACCTTTCCACCATCAAAGCTTGCTCTTAAAAGCTAAACCATTTCTCGTATAACAATCTCATATAACAATCCTATTTGATTATGATCTGTGTAATATATATATTATCATAAAGATTTGAGTTTGACGATTTTATTTATTTTGAAAGAACTCGTAATTTCGGATTTACTTAGAAATTCGATTTTGAAAATAAAGACTTGGAGTTGACATTGATCATTTAAGGCTAAATATGATCGAACGTCTACAAAATCGCTTTTAAAAGGAAATTTTAAAAATCCCGTTTTAAAGATAATAATTGTTATCTATTATTAATAAAATAATTGGTATGCTAAAATAATTAATAGAAAGAAATTGTGATAATTAACTATTCCAAAATAATTTCAGATGAATTTTGTCCAAATAACATGTATTTGCATTAACCCAAGTCAGACAATAGCAACATATGTATGAATTTTGTCTTCAATCACTTAATGAATGTTTGTTTAAAAACACTTGGGAAAAAATATCTACACAATGTGAGATTTCATAATCCCACGTCAAACTTATTGATTTTTGAGCTTTCAAAGAAAATTCTTGAACTTTGATCAGACCCATGACAATAGGACAATTAAAAACAGTATCCAAAACTTTCTTTAACTGTCATACTAACATGGGTTTGATCAAACATACACTAATTGAATGATTGAAGACAAAAGTTATACATGTACATAGTTATTATTTATTTGACTAGTGCTTTTGCAAGTACGTGTCTTTGACACGTATCAGACATATTAATTTTTAAATAAAATTCGTAATAAATTTTTTACCTTTTTTCTTTTATTTTAGTAATAACTAGTGGAAATGTTGAAAATTCTAACCGTCCTTCCTATCACGTAAACAAAGATACACCATGTCAAACGTATCTTCTAAAAAACTCGGCTAACGTGTTATACCTTCATCGAGATACTATTATTATCTTAAATAATTTTTTTCCTAAATAGTAAAAGATATTATTATTCTTTTTGAAGAAAAAATATATTATTATTCTAATAAAAAAGAAAAGAAAATGTGATAATTAAGTGTATAAAAAAAAGACTTGGTTCCCATACTATTGTTCTCATGTTAAGATTTCAAGGTCATTATTTCTTTTGAAAACGGCATTGGTGTGGGACAAGACGAGTTTTAAATTAAAAACTTTACTCTAGATTAAATTCAGATCATATTTATATCGTCTCACCCGAAGAAATTTATTAAAACATCCCTCTTCTAATTATAAAATTAATTATATATATTAATTTTTAAACTTAATAACATGATAATAGTTGGTAGGTTTTTCAATGTATCTGTTGTCAGTGACTTGATGCATGGATGGAAAGCACAAGCGAGATGCATTAGGCTTTCAAAAACTATGGACCACTACTGCTTAAGATATAACCCACTTGTTTTTCCTGCTCCAGGGAAGGTGTCAAAAGTTGCAACTCCTACTGCTAACTCTACTTTGTAAATACAATTGCTTCATTATGCAGAAACAATGATGCTTCAGACAATTATAGCTGTGAAATGATGGGGATTTCTTAATCATTTAGAACCTCAGAATATACACTAGACATCCTTTCTGTGCAATTGAAAAGAACAAATATTTCACACATCCAAGCCATTTACTCCTTATAACTGATGACAGACCTTGCCTAAATATCTGAAGCATTTCAATGAAGCCCAGGACTTGGCTCGGACCTATACTTGCTTTCTAAACTCCCACACTGCATGCTTCTGCTTCTTTATAACCTCCTAAACATCGAATACCCAATAAACCTTTAATATGTATTGATCTGGCCCTATCCATAACTTATCCAATCATGAATAAATCACAACATATGGTGTCCCTCGGAAATTCTTTCTTAAACTACAAAAGAAAACCAGACGGCATTGAGCCGGGAAAACATAAAAACTACTACATCTTAGTACAGAACAAGAGAATAACAATGGCTACTCATGCATTCTGACGAAGCAGAATCCTTAACATGCAAGGCATTTCTTTCTTTCTTTTACAATTAAAGGTTGAAATTATAAAAGAGCCTAAGAACAAGAGACCATCTATATCACGAGTACTGGATATAAGTTTAACGTAAGATTAAAGGTTTTCATATGTATAACATTACATAAAGACCTCCATGCCAATAAATTTAGATGACTGACACAGGGGGCAAAAGCTAAACTTACTTTCACAGCTTTTACACAGGCAGAGATGCTTACAAGGTAACAAAAGCATGCATACTTCATTCACCCCGCAAACTTTACAAGTCAACTCTTTCACGTCACTGTTCTCCTTGCTGATCAAATGGAAATCGATGGCTCTGCCATTGCAGCATGAGGCTGTATCATCAACTTCACTATCGCCACATCCTTCCTTACTATCCCTACTTTGAGCATAAGCTTGCTGGAGATTAAACTTGAGGGCCGTAATCATGTTTTCATTGTATCTGGCACGCTGTTGCCAGGCACCTGCTTCCATGGTTAATTGCTCCATTTGCTTTTCCAGTTCCATATTCTTCTTGTTAATATTCTCCACTTCTGCTTCTTTCTCCCGGAGTTTCTGAAAAACTCTCTCTTCAACAAGTGAAATTGTCTGAAGTTGATTACTTTGAACCTTCTCCAAAACAGCTTGTCGTAACCGATCACCCTATTTAAAGAAGCAGGGATTTGGAATACTTTCAACAAAAAATAAAATTCATAACTACTTGCTGAAATACATATATTGCAAAACTAACAAACTAACAACACCAGACATAAAATAGGTAGCACCACATGAACAACACCAGACATAAAATCAAATTATTCCCCCTCACTAACAAACAACCCTTTGAACAATTATGCTGCAGGAACATCAAAGTCTAACTTAATTATTTTTAAATCAGTTTATTTAAGTCTATGTTTTTTGTTCTTCTAATTATTATTTAATGTGATTAGCATAAGACTCTTAGTCAGAGTTCTAGTATAACTATTATACTAGAGTTAAAAGGACTGTTAGTAAGAGTTCTTTTACAATTAGTCTACTAGAGGGTTATTAGGATCAGTTTTTTTATTATTATCATTATGAGAGTTCTTAGCTGTTCAATTTTTTTTTCTCCTGAGAGCTTAACTAGATCCTAGGATTTACATTAGAAACCACTTTTAAGCCATGGTATGATGCACTAGAAGTCTAGAAAGAGGAATCAAGGCCAGCAAATGAAGTTGTCTGAGATGAGGCTCATGGTTGAAGAATTGTCACAGGTTTATTGAGCTCTGATGATGATAAACTGGTTCTAATAACACTCTAGTAGAGTATTTATACTAAAACCCTCACTGGTAGTCCTATTAACACTCTAGTACAATATTTATACTAGAACTCTTACCAAGAGTCCTATACTAGAAATCAAGCAATCTTCAATTAAGATTTTTACTCAGTGCAGAGAAGAGACATTACCCAATTGTAGCATGACCGATAACATAGGTTCTCCAAAATTGATGAACATAAATTGAATCATTTATGTGGTGAAAACAGATTAGTTCATTTAATTCAATTCCACGTTATTTTCTTTAATTTCTAGCATCCGCATAAGTAACCCTTGTTTCTATAAGGTACACTGTTATTTTCAGGAAAAAGAAATACAATTAAGCACAATGAATGAAAATACAATGGAGAAGAGAAGTTACTTAAAGAAACGTTCAATAGTTAAAGTAAAGTTGAAGCACAATGAATGTTTGCGAGACAAGAAAATGCTGGACTCACTCTCATAGCACTTTGCTCATTTGTATCTAGACAACGACACTAACAACCAAATACAGCAAAATATCATGAAATGTCTTATCCACCGTTAATAGACTCAATGGCCAAACAAAGTAACCACCAAAAAATCTGAAACAAACAATAAAAGCAATAATTTAGCGTTAAATAGGGGCATTAAATAGTTTGTATAGAGTGGGTAGTTTGTATAGCTACACAAACTGATCACATGTATACACTGGTGATTGTAGCGGAATTCCACTTCCTTGTATAATAAAATCAACAAATTATCCCAAAAAACTAGCATTAAAGCATGATAAATGTGTAAGCAGTCAATGACCACAGCCAATTATTGTCCACATATGGCACAAATGGCATTGGAAAATATAGATGGATCGCTACAAAAATCAAGGAAGCTAATGAAACATGATTATTCACATTTGGCAAAATTCATCAAGAAGCTAAAGTCCATAAAGCAGACCTGAGCTTTAAGCAATCTATCAATCTCTGCATCCTGCCGCTGCAACTCAAGATCTAGGTCACCTCCAATGAGAGACAACAGTGGTGAATCAACCGAAGAAGCCATCCGATTATTATTATCTAGTGACAAACCTAATCCTGTTGAGACCGACCGTGCTTGAAAAAAATCAACAGAAGATATCTGTGAATTGTTCTCCAAAAGATCTTGTTCCTTTAGCTTCTTCCTTTTAGATTCAACCCCGTTGTTCCATTGCAAATCAGCTCCTCCATCACTCCCATCTGTAAGAGGAACCGGACCCGGTGCAAAACCAACAACATGAACTAAACAAATATAAATGCAAAATACACAATAGTTATAAAAACTTATTTCGTGAATGAAACAAAAATCCCAGAAATATTAAACAACAAAGTTCCAATTTTGATGCTCAAAAAGTAAAAAGAACGAAATAATAATGCAGTAATTTAAGCCAACTACCACTAAAGAAGTTCAAAATTTTACTTATAAATTCAATAGAAAATAAAGATAAAAAACAAAGAACCGAAGGGAATTACAAGGAGGAACATAAGGAGGATGCGGAGACGAATCTAGTAAATCAGGCGTACTGTAATAAGCAAGTGGCGGCGAAACCTGACCATCAATCGCGTAAAAGTTCCTGAGATCAAACATAAATAGAAACAGATTATAATTTCAATTTAGGATTAAATCATTTTTCTTTAGTAATTAAAGATTGAATTATGGAGCGGATTTACCTGAAATTTTTAGATTGTTCTTGTTGAGGTTGATAGTGTTGTTGAAACTGGTGCTGAGGGAAAGCCATCTTTGGGAGGAACGAATGTTTTGGAAACTAGAGGCGTAAATGGGAGATCAATTTCTCTTTAATGGCGTACAGGTCGATGCAGAATATTCTTTTTTATTTCTAGTTTGACCTCGCTGTTTATTTTATTTAGAGATTGGCCTCTTCTATTCATTTAATTTTCCAAACTACCCCTCCTTGTTTTGTTTCTTATGGATTAGGCCAATTCGGAAAGGTAACAATTAAAAATTAAGAGGTTTAAAATACATTTGATGCCATTCAAGTTAGCAATTGAAGAATTCTTACTCTCGAGTTGATATCTAAAGATTAATTTCATCAATTGTTTAGTACTTTTATTAACGGTGTCAACTTTTAATAATGTGATAATATAATATTATGTCATTCGTTAATGATGATGTCATTATTTAAAAAAATAAAATCTAAAAGTATTCAAAATAAAAATATGTTAAAATGTTAATGGATTAATCTTACTAATTTCTATCCAATCAACTAGTCTAGGGTTGAAGTTTACATTCTAAATATTTTGACATAATAAATTAAAAATATTTTGGACTTAATCGAATATAAAAAAAATAACCCAAATTTCAGACAAACTTAAAAACTGCACTTTAAAACGATTTTCAACTTATCTAGATTTTTTTCAAAATCATGATCATTTTCATAATTAAAAATCAAGTTGTCGGAGCCGTCTTTCGGTTGGATCCAAAATTAAGCTTTGATTTAGGAAAAATGATTTGGAGTCGCCACCGATCATTTATTTAAAACAAATGGGTTGATCGGATACCTTATTTCTTATCTGATCTGCGTCTTACCAAAGATGTGTCGGATTCGGGAGTCGGTTACAGTCAAGGAAGGGTTAGTACCCTTGAATTGCTCTTTCGGTACTACGTAATTTTCAGTTGTCTCTAATTAAGAAAAATGAAAGTTTAAATTAAAAGTTAAAAATAACGATCCGAATTATTTATCTCCGATAGTTTAAAAGTGTACCCTTACAAAGTCAAGAAAAAAAGTTAGAAAAAAATGAAAATAAATAAAATAGAGAAAAACAAAAGAAATAAAGAAATGACAGGAAGATAAAAAGATAAAGAAAATAAAAATGAATAAAAATAAAAATAAAAATAAAGAAATAATAAATAAGTAAAACACAAAATAATAATGATCTATATACAATCAATAAATAAATAAAAACAAGAAAATAAAATAAAATGAACCTCAAGGAAATAAAAATAAAGAAAAAAATTAAAATAGAGAAGAAAATTAAAATAAATAAATAAATAAAATAAAATAAAAAAGAAAACATATACATATATATAATATAATGTAATGTAATAAAAAATAATCAAGTGATTAAAATATATGTAAAATAATAATAGACGTATAAATAAAATATTAAAAGTATATATATAATGATAAAATATAGTGTTTAAATGAAAAAAAAAATCAAATAAAAATATTAAATATATATATATATAATAAAATATTTAAATAAAAAAATAAGGAAAAAATTAAAATATTAAGGGACATAATTGAAAGAAAAACAAATCAAGGGTCAATTTTAAATGAAATTCGATGAAAATGGGGTTAAATCAAAGGTTTAAAAACGAAAGGGAGAAAATGGGTGATTTACCCATTGTTGCGTGAAAACACGCTGGTCACGCGTGTATGGGTCGGACGTGGTCCATTCGAGTTAGTATAAAGCCTAACAATTAAAACAAACCTTCATTTGTTTCATTTTCACCAAACATTAAACCCCTTCCCCCCTTCGTCTCCTCAGTTCATGGGTGTTCTTCCTTCGTGAAGAACATCGCCGCAGCAAACCCATAAACACGACGGCGGCGTCTCGCCGGCCGTCTTTGATCAGCTTTGGTCATCGACTGCGAAATACAAAAAGTTTTGGTTTTTTTTAAAGCTATCTTTGCACTTGTTTCAAATATCAAAATATTTTTTATAACAAATAAGCCTAGGGGGCTAGATCTACGAAAGGAGATCTCGAAAACACCCCCGTTCATCGGCCATCTCGAAGCAAAAACAAAAAAAAAGTTAAGGAAAGCAACATGCAAAAGGCCAAAACACCGAATCGAGGTAAAATATACATTTTTATTTTTTTTTTGCTTTCAAATGTTACAAGCTTGTTTTGCTCATTTTTCGTGTTTTTCGAATGTCACTTGTGTATTTTGTAGTCTATTTTCGTGTAAACTATTGTGATGAATGTGATTTACAAGCCTATTTATATACGAAACAAAGCAATTTTTAGTTCCGAAAATTTTGAGTTCTAATTGAACTATGACGCTTGTTTATTGTAGGTTGTTGGTGATGCTCGCGAGGTCCTTGCGCCGGAAAAATCAAGTTGTTGGAGGCGAGAGACGTTCGGCTGTGGGGAGTCCTCGTTGAAGGGGAATTGCGGCGCGGCTGAATGAGATGGGTAACCGGTTCGGATGCTCCATTGGACCGATTCGGGTCCACTGTTGGGTGCTCCAAGTGGGTCATCGAACGGACTGCTCCACTGGAAATGGGTCGGTGTTGGCTTGGTTGTTTTGCTGGGCCATTTGGGTTGTTTTGTATTTACTTGTAATGGACCTGTACATAAAAATAAAATGTAAATAAATATATATATATATATATATATATATATTATAATTTATAATATTAGAAATAGTATTATATATATTGTAATTTATAATGTAAGCGGACGAAATTAAGTGTATTCACAAGTTTTCAGAAGTTTTAAGGCAAACATGATCGGTAAGTAGCGAATAAGACCAATCCCTTCGAACCTATTAGCGAAAAAGACCATACTTTTTTTTGAAACTACAAAAGAATCGATTCTTCGTGCCGAAATACTTTAGTTTTTTGGCATAATGACAAACGGTTTGATTAAATAGTTAATTTAGTTTCTTATTATTCTTTTGGATTATATTGATTTCAATGTTTCAATTTAGGACAAAAAGACTCCTCTATAGTTGTAAATCATTAGTCAACAAACGATTAATGCTCTAAAAATATAGGGTTTTTTACTCTAAAATGAATTGTTGATGTATAAAATGCCTCAAGAAAAAAATAAGGGTTGATTGACTATTTAGTCAAACGTTGGAGAGGACAAAATACTCTTATAAAAATAAAGGTTAAAGTGGCTACTTAGTTAAACGTGAGGAATATTAAGTAACAAATGTTTTACATCTTTAATGGTTTCTAACGACTAGTAACTATAGAGATGATATAAAACCAAGCTCAAAATAATTCAACTATGAGAAACAATATTGAGATGAGATGTCAGCATCAAAGAGTAATTAAAGCTTTATCTTATTCTTATTGTAAGAACACTTGTGGGTTATCATTGTTAAAATTGCTCAAGTGTTCATTTGAGTGTGAGCGTATTTTTTGCAAATAGTTTGCTAATTTGTTTTTTTCTTGAGAGTGAACTAAGGCAGTGGAGGCTCCTTATACACAATAAGCAAAGGGGACCACCAGGACCGATCAAATCATCGTTGATGAATTCACGTGGCAAATCAACATGGAAGAGACTATTGGGAGCCTATACTAATTACACGTCCCTTATTATTATTATTATTTTTGAATTACACCTCCCTTAACACCTCCTTATTTGAGATCATCTGCCAAGTCGAGAATTTTGAAACTTTAAAGCCACCTCTCCCTATGAGGAACTGCCTTCGACGAAGAATCACTCACTACTACGAGCATCATAAGTAGAGGTGGCATTACACCGAGTAATGTGTAACATTGTGGAGGAGGCCATTAGGAAGAGGTAATTAGACCAATTTGTGCAAGGAACTGCACTAAAACGAGGTCTAGATGGTACGCGACAATAGGCATGTCCGAGGAATCATCGATTAACATCTGGTGAGGGATAACCGATTACCTCAACAACCGACAACTAGCCTCTAACAACAAGAAGCATACCCAAAATGGCTCTCGAGGTAAATCTCAAACAGGTATAGAGAAGATCTCCCTCCTCATACTTTGTAATGTGATAATGTCCCAATTTTACATTGAACATCAAAGTTATTCTTCCTCCGCTTAGCTACTGGAATTCTTTGAAGATATTTTTCCTATTATATTTCCTAGAATGTCTCTGTCCTCTATTATATTGCCATAACATTGTCTTTGTTGTGTTGCCACCAGGCTGAGATGCTTTCTCTCTAGCTAAGAGTGTTAAGCTGCCTCTGTTACATTGTAAAGGAAAGAACATCTTTATCTTCTCACCACCTAGCCAAACGAGTTAAGATGCATTCGTTTTTCACTTATATCGTTGATATACCTCCACCTCGAAAAGCGTCGAGATGCCTCCGTCGAACGTAGAGTTAACTACAACCCAAGCTTTACGACTTATGAAATTTACCCAAGGGATTGAGTTGACTTTGTTCTAACAATAGGAGTTCTTCCATTATCCCCTAAAGAGCATCGAGATGTATTTGTCTTAGCGAAAGGAATTCCACCTCATTGATTCTACCAAGGCGAAGATGTCTTAGCTCAACATTTAATATTTTAGACGTGTAGAGGTGCCTCTGCTTCGCCTTATTATCACTTGAGGTTGGGTTACCTCTTTTATTGGCTGAGGGAATTAGGATGTCTCCACTCCTCTTAAACTAAAGAAACTCTTCTTAAAACTGGTCGAAGTGGTTGAGATGCCTTCGTCTTCACAATAGAAATTACTCCATTGTCGACTTATAAGGCATGGAGAAGCTTCCACACAAAAGTTTTGAGATGCCTCAGTATAGTTTATAAAATTATATCGGGAGGGAGTTGCCTCACACTCTAGATTCTCATAGCTTATGATCCTCCAAAGAATAAGATTTTTTCGCTCCTCTTATTGCTACTATAAGCGTATAGATGTCTTTGCCCCAGCAAAGGGGACAAAGACACCTCATTACTTCTATCAAGGAGAATATGCATCTTCCATCAACCAGACTACTTTGAGGGTGTCGAGTTGTCTCATCTCTGGTATAAGGCGTGGAGATACCTCCGCTCTTGCCTTAACTACAAATATTATATAGTGATCTTCTCCCCCAACCAGATGGAGTCGAGATTCCTCCGTTAATGTTACAGAAGTTTGTTATTGAATGTTGAGACGTTCGCTAAAGCGTTGAGAATCCTTCACATGATACAGAATGACGAAAGCAATTATGCTCGTCTCCGATAACATTTAAAAATGTTGGGAATTCTCCACGCCCAGTCCAAATTTTTCTTATTGCTTTTCGACAAACTAATATGACTAAACAGTGGACCTAGACACATCCGTAAAGCATCGAAATGTTACTATCTTTGCTAATATCCTAGTAAAGCGTTAAGAATACTCCGTGAATCATGCATATAAGTGTTGAGACAACTCCTCCCATGTCAAGAGTTGCTAGTTTATTTTTGTATTCGGTTTAGGGCGGTAAAAATCTTTTTACTAGTCTCTGATCAAGTCACTTTATAATTTTTCCTCGACCAAGGAGGGAAAAATGTTACACCTCTTCCGATGGTCAATACCTCCAATATTTTAGGAGTCCGTCGGAGGAGAACAACCGTAATGTTTTTTGATTTGACTATCAAAATCATTATTAACAAAGTCTGTCACATGCTAATCTGATCAATTCACTTTATCAACCTATAAACGACAATTATTACCTTACACCTATACTGACATTCGCATGTACCAAAGATTGGTACATAAGCCCCCAAGGCATTTAAGAAAATGATCTTCTTGTTCTTCTTTCTCTCTTTTTTTCTTCTTCTTAAAGCCTCTTCCTTTTCCTTAAAAGCATTTTTATCGTCAATAAGGAAACAACCAACTACGATTTTGTGTCTAAATTAAAATAGATAAATCGTTTATAGCTAACATAACATACATGGTTACCATCAATAAAAGAATTATTTGTTTTATTATAATATTTTTATAATTGAAAAAAATAGACAATAATTAATCTGTGGACAAAGGGATTTATGTCATTACCATCAACAGTTAAAACCATAAATATGTCTATCTTTTACATCTAAAAATAGGTTTGTAAACGAACCGAACGCACATGAACGGAGGTATGTTCATGTTCGTTCATTTAATAAATAAACGAACATGAATATAAACAAACAAATAAAATTTTGTTCATGTTTGTTCATTAAAGAATATAGCTTGTTCATGTTCGTTCATTTAAATAATAAATGAGCACGAACGAACGAACATAAACAAATACGATAAACGAACATAAACGAACAATACAAACACAAAAAAAACTTATTCGAACACAACAAACGAATGTAAAAAAAGTAAACAACAAGAATAACAACTTAAAATTCATTAATATAACTTGCAACTTTAGAGTTAATTTGTTCGAATACGAAAAAAACATACATAAATCATAAATAAGCTAGTAGTTGATGGAGATGTTTGATTGTGGACCAAGTATAGGACGACCAAAGTGGGATATGAAGACAAAAGAAATGACGTGTATTGATTTTAGAAAGGGAAAGCTGCGAGGAACTCGTTACTCGACAGCCATGTTATGGTTGGCAACTTTGGTTTTGTAATGCCACCACCAAACAATTATTGTCCTTTTTCTTTTTGGCCTTCCGCCGCCCACCAATGAAAATGAGGATAAAATCAAAATAAATTAAAATTAAGAGGTCTAATTTGATATTTACCCATATATTTAAGAATTGGCCACTATGCTTTGGTGACAGATTATGCATTCAATTCGGTGACATCGATGGCAACCCCAAATGTAGCTTGTGTGGCAGCTTTGCTAAAAGCAGTGAATCCTTAATGGAGTCCAGCAGGCCATCCGATCAACTTTGATGACCACGGCCTACTCCATCAATAACAATGGAAGTACTTTGACAAATCAATTGTACGTTCGTCCTGCAACACCTCCAGATTACGGTACTGCTGGACATATCAACCCCAACAAAGCATTGGATCCCGGACTCATTTACGACATGGAAACACAAGATTACATCGATTTCCTGTGCGGCTTAGGCTACAAGGGCACGGAGATGAGAGCTGTTCTTAGATGAAACCAATAGAACTGCACCCGAAACGAAACGGACCTGAACTACCCATTCGTTTTGCAACTTTTCCAGGGTGGTTAATAACGAGGGAGATGATCAATCAGTTTACCGGGATGTAGTGGGGAGCTCCACATGGCTGAGACTCATTGCTGAACCGAGCACTCTGACGTTAACGAAGAAATATGAGAATCAAAGGTTTGATGTGAGTGTAGAGAATGATAGAAATGGTTCCCGGAGCAGACTTACGGTAATCTCAAGTGGATTGATCAACGCCATCGGACCATCTCAAGTCCTAAAGTGGCCCTGATTTCCTAACCTTTGAATCCTTGTGATCTGTGTCAAAGATTTAGTATGTTGATAAGTTGCTTACGTGCTACTGTCCTTATGCCATTAATCAATGTTCATAGTTGGATTTTGTATGGGTGAAAGAAGCATATATCTATTTTAATAAGTTATTATAACATAGTAATGCTTAAGGAGAAATTTCTTCGAAAACTTACGCTAAAAGAAGAAAGAGGAACACAAGAATGTAAAAGGTATTCGATAATCTATGTCGCCAATGGTAAAAAATTCATACATACAACTCTTAGGAAATGAAAAATGTTGAAAGTAGCTTTGTTCCCAGTGCTTCAGACATTTTGTTTCATCCACCCAGAAAGAGCCTTGTTTGACATAACTGGAAGTAAATTTTAATGCTCATGTGCCATGGATTGATGATCTCAGAATGAAAACCGCTGGGCCCCTATCCACACATTTGAAGGCATCTAGTTCCGATGAACTGCAAAAGCCCAACCAGAACATTAGATGCCGGGTCCTTTCTCTGACCTGAGGAAGACCTAATTGTCTGAAAACAACCAGACATATCATTTAGTCAGACCTGTTGTTTTACAAATGGGGCACAAGTTTTTGAGCATCAGCCATTGTCTAATGCAATCAGCATGGAAGTCGTGGCCACATTCCAGTGTCCCAAGATCTTCTCCATCATTATATTCTTCCTGCAAGTTTGTAAACAATTATTTACAAGGTCCGTAAAATCAGTTACGAAAATGCAGATGAGAAGATCCATTACCTGACAAACACAACACGGTTCAGCCTCCAACTGAGCTCCTGGTGCACCAGAGTGCCTTCGTCGTTTCAAACGGTTTAATATGGTTTCTTCACTCAACCCTGTGCTTACATTACCAATGCGTTCTTCCAGAGCCAATAACTCCTATTACCCACAAAGCAATTCTACTGTGAGAAATTTCAAACACAAAAGATTAGGATGCCAAGAATATAGATACGACCTCATATGACATGTTATCAACATCAAGCCGCATGTCCCTATGCCGGTCATGAATATCAGCAACCCCTAATAGTACTGTTTGATCGAGGATCATGACATCCTGCATAAAAGCATAATTAGAAGAGAATGACGCTTGGGGAAGAAGTAAGATCCAGAATGACATGGCCATTCCCAAAGTCCCTAGCAGAATGGCCACCTATTGAGCATAACAACATATGAACTATTAAGGTAAAGACAATTTTTTCATGCTTCCATGTTTTAGTCGGTGATGATAGAACTGAATCAAATTACACCGTTAAAATAAATTTGTACCTCAAACCGCAGGTTCTCCCGCCTCCGCATGAGATCCAAGACATTGCGAATCTGCCCCATAAACAAAATGTCAGATCTAATTGAATGGATCTTTACTATGGCCATATGTAATATCTCGTACGCAGGTAAAACCATGAGTTTACAAGATAAGTGGTGGCATTTAAATTCGAGTGGTCCAAATAGAGAATAAAGTGCAACACATGAATAAATGATTCGTGAACTAGTGCATGAATTTTGGATATCGATGCCCAAGGTCATATCTTTCAGACATGCAATCAAAGGAAAAACAACATACACATTCTACACAATTAGCATTGCTCTATCAAACAAGGAGTTTACTTTATCTATACCAGGCATTTGATTTCCAGTGACAATTAGCTTGGCAGCAAATTAAGTAGTAGTGTTAAGGGAACCAGGATTTGTACTTTGTTATTGTTTCAATTTGAGGGGAAACAGAAAATCTATCACAATCAGAAAAGATGGAGTTCAAAGGCAGACCTCAGATGCAACAAGCCTGCTTCTTCCTTCAGTGGCAAAAGCTAAAGTTCGCAATGAGCGGGGAATTCCAAGCAAACCAGCATCTTGTCTCTCCAACCATGGCAATGACCTAGGATATGAACGATGGTGACCCTGATTAGCTGCTTGAGAGGAAAGCAACATCTCTTCCGGAAAAGCAGTAGGTCCTGAAGGATGTGAAGAATGATTGTCCTGGCCTCCAGCTTCAGTGCCAAAGGAAGACATTAATGATTGACGAACAAGTTCTGACAATCTTCGTGGGTATTGTGAAGAGGAGTTGGGATGAGGAACCCAGGTAGATGCAGACGTTGCATTGGCAACAGAATTTGGACCTGCGTGGGAAGTAAAAGCAATATTTCCAGGAGCACTAATACTTCCACTGCTTAAACCATGATTTCTAAACAAAGTTCTTAGTTCTGGTGCAGGAACCAACATACGATGATCTAATTGGTTTCTGGCCATGCTTCTTGATTGGTGTCTGGCCATGCTTCTTGATTGGTGTCTTGCACGTGGTACAACATTTCTATCAGGTGATAGATTCGAGTTTGATGAACTGCCAGTTCTTGAGCCAGAATCTCCATTTCGAAGCAAAGTTGGAACATTAATTACGACATTCGGGTTTTCAGAACTTACATTAGGTACAATTGGTGCTGAACTTAAATCCAGAGAATCATCGATTGGAAGAAGTCTTGATGACTGCGGTGCATACGAAACAACAGACTGCCTAACTGTATCACCTGTAGAAATTAGTGAACGGGCGATAGGTTCTTGTATACTAGAAGGATTTATTCTCAGCCGGAAGTTCCTGCGTGAGCTTTCTGCAGTCGGTGGTAAAACAATTGGTTCAGGAATGCTGTCAGATACTGATCCTCGAATGTCTAATCCAAGTCTAGGGTGAGCCTGTCTTGAGTGGGGAGATATATTCACATTGCTTCCTGCAGTATAGCTAGCAGAAACTCCATGCCATGCACTACTTTCTGCACTACTTCCACTAGAAGAGGATTGCCCAACATTCCCTTCCAGAGCCTTTCTTTTGCACGATGCACGATGGCCCTCATACGAGCATCCAGGTTTGTCATCATTATCATCCCCAACATGCCCAGCAATTCCGGGCAAAAGTAGAAATGCTTCAGAACCAGCACCCAGTGAATTCTGCTCACCTTCTGATCCACTAGGCTTATAGTGATTAGACCGTTCTGTAACTTGACAGTTATTATCATCATGACCAACTAATCCATCATTTAAACTTTGATTCTGGGGAACTACATAAGAATTGGAACTTTGCGCAAATAGAGAGCTCTGTTCATACCTCTGCCCTTCCAACCTCAGACCAGCATTTGCAGAAGCACTCATAGACAATGACCATCCATGATCCGTTTTCTGCTCATTATAGCTTACTTCAGTTTTGGTGCCACTAGAGCTAGGCTCTCCCAAACTCCATCTACCCGGCTGCTCCTCTCGACCAATAGAATTCACATATCCAATGTTCAAGTCACTAGATGACAGCAAACAATTAGGCAATCTGTTTTCTATAGGATTTTGAACATTATTCCAGCAAACCTGCTGTTCAATAGCAGCATTACTTGATGTAGTGCTGTGATCAGAGAAGGTTTCAGGCAAGGAACCAATAGTACCCCTTTGTCCCTGCATTATGACTCGTATGGATTTCCGTGCAAATATCCTGAAACCCTGAAGAATATTCCAATACAAATTGTAAGTAACCAATTTCTATATTTCTAATAGCAGTGGAGTAGTTTAAGTCTGCTTTGAAGAGACATATTTGCCTCTCAGACGTCAAGAAATCAATCATTGCAAATAATATATCACCAGGGTGAGTGATACCGTGGCATATGTTAATTTGTTTTATCATTCTTGTATAAGCACTTGAAATCAATAATCCACAATTCTAACGGTATGCATACTTTCTAAGAGAAAAGAGAAAAAAATAACATAACATAGAACATCAAAGAGAAGCAGCTGCCTCTAAAATCTAATATCCAACACTAATAATAGGATAACAACAAGGGTGCAGAACCAAGACAGCAACCAGAAATTATATTCAAATGCAGTGGTTAGCACGAACCAAAAGATACTAATTCACTCAGTAAAGCATATCATCAACAAAGATGGCGAAATGTGATGCTAGCCTGTGTTCCCAGGCCCTCCATTTCCCCAAAAGTACAAAACATCATTTTAAATTGGATCAGCAAAACATAGAACCACTCAAGAGCACTGGGCAATCAGGAATTTTAAAATACAGAGAACCAAAATCAAACAATAATGAGCATCAACTAACAGCAAATATCCAACTGTGGACCAAAACGAAAGCAGACACAAGGTTCCACGCTGCTCCATATAAAAACAAAACGCTAAAACAAACTGAATACACACAGAGAAGCGCCATTAAACAGAACAAAATAAAACAATAGTAGAAAGAAATTATCTAAAGAGAGCCTCGACAATCAACCAACATGTGAAAAGACAGCAAAGAATCACAGACTTTAAACACAAATTGCTAAGACCTCAAAGAATACGCAGATTCATGAAAAGAAAAAACCATAAAAATCAAAACCTCAAAAAAGAAAATATCCATACATGACCTGTTAAACCAACAGCCAAATATTTCAAGAAAAGAAGGGAAAAAAACAGAGAGAATATCCTACATTCATCTGACCATCAACCGATCAAACAAATATAAACATGAAAACCACACGCAGATCGCTCACCAAACGAATAACCATGAAAATCATTGATCAATCTAAAAGAATCTTAACAAGGAGATGAAGATTATACCACAAAACCCGGATGAAAAAAGGTTGTCTAGAGCTATTATCCCCTGCTTTCTCAAGAAGAGAAAGAGAGACAGGAGAAAGAAGAAAGAAGAAAACCCAACAAGAGAAGAGCTTTGAAAGATTAAATGAAACACCTTTATGCAAGAAACAAAGAGAGAGATAGACTAAAAAGGAGTACAATACCAAATTTACCGAATAACCCACAAAGGAAGAGCGATAATAAGAGAAGGAAACAGAGAGTCCAGGAAAAGGTCATAAAGAGCACCTCCCTACCAAAGACTTGAATATCAAAAAAACAATAAAGACAAATACAGTAATTAATATAGTTATCTTCTACACAGAGGAAATTACGGTGAGTTAAAAACAAAATTTTATTTATTAAAAATTCATGGAAAAAAACTTTATTTTTTACATTAATACATGTAACAGTTATGAAACCTTTTAACAAAATTAAATTTATTCGATTTATCGTATTTTTAAGAAAATTAATTACTTTTATCAAAGGTGAAATCTTTTACAATTTTAGTAAATATAAGTAATGTTATAAATTATCTTGATTTTTTCAATTATCTCGTCATCTAATAATGATATAAAAGTATAAGTATTGATTAAATTATTAAAAAAAATAATTTTTTAAAGATAAAATCTCTTAAATTTTTATAGTTTTTAATTATGATAAATATAATAAATTATTTAATATTTTAAATATCTTCATTGATATTTTTAGTAAATAAAAAATTTATATGCTATATAATAAATGAAATAAAAATTAACAAAATTAAGTATAATTATTTAAAATTGTGTAATTTCAAGAAATTTTATTTTAATAAATTTGAGTAGCTTTGTTGTATAATTATGATAAATGTTAAAAGTTTTATGATATTTTTGAATCATTCTATCAACATTTATCATAATTACTACATCTCCTTTCTCACCGCTTGCTTTGCCCCTCAGCAACCACTCTTTATCTTTATTTTTGACCAACAAAGCCCCATAAGAAAGGGAACAGCTTGAGTGAAATTGTCTGCACTTATTTGTTTTTGTTAAAATTATCATTATAGATTTTATCGAACAGTATCGGTTTTAATGTTGAACATCGATTATTTATATTTTCATTTTATTTATAATTTTTTAATAAAATATGCATGTTTGTGACACGTTTTTATCTTTATAACGCACATTTTGTCTTCTTTCTCGATGATTTAGTCGTTATTTTTATTTTATGTTTTCTTAAAGTTAGATATAAGAAAATCATATATCTCTATAAAGTTATATGTTGAGATATGTGACATGGATGGATTGCATAAGGGATAATTATGGTGGGGTGAAACTGGATGTTATTATGTTATATTAATATATAAATTTCAATTTAAAATGTAAATAAATATAAAAAATAACACGTAATATGAATATGAAGTCTATATTTTTCTCTAGTTTATTATTCCTATATGCATTTACACAAAAATTATTTTAAATATGAATATTATAATATTTTAAAGAAAATTTTACTAATTAATTCAGTGTATAAGTTTAGATTAAAATATGTTGCTAAACCTTATAATTTGACAAAATTTGAGATTCAATCCCTGTATTTAAAAAGTTGAAATTATACCCCCTTAATTTCTTTTACAAAATGTTAACAGTGTCAATAATTAAATAAAGATTATTAGATCGAATAAAAGTAGATGATATAATTTTTAACCTTTTAAGTACAAGGATAAAATCATAAATTTTATTCAAGTATAAGGACCTGCTTCACATTTTAACTGTTGATTTTAAAATCATATAATTGTAAATTAATTTTTATTATAAATTCTAATATGACTATATAATTTAAATTAGATTTTACAAAAGTTGATGATTTTTTAAATATAATTTCTTTAATTATAATAAATTGTATAAATATGATTATAACTATAAAATATAATTATATTCTATCATCAGTTGCTTACTTTTATATTATATATCACTTACAAGTATTTTATCATATGTATTATATCAGTATGGCTAATTAAATGGTAATGAGAATAGGTTATAGAGTCATAGATAGAAAAATGTTGATAAGCATGACCTCCATTAAATAGTAATGTGGTGAAATATGATAAAACTTAGACTTGAATAAATACATAGAATATTGATATTTAGTTAGAGAAGATATATATTATACACATGTCTATCTGTTTATACTTATATTTGATGCTTATATTTATAAGCTGCATGAAGTATGATATAATAGAAGTGTGCTATTGAAATTGTAAAATTTAGTGTTGGAATGTTTTCATTCATAGGTCATAAATTTCGTGATTCGTGATCGGACAACAACATCATCAGATAAATCTAAATGAGAATACCCGAATATTGTAACACCCCCAACCCGTACCCGACCCTGATACGAGTTTGAGGTGTCACATTGACTTCTCAAAACATTTACTTTTACAAAATACCCAAGATTCAATTTGATATTTCTAATAAAACCATTTTACTTTCTATGATATAAAACATATGGTTTTACAAAACTGATCAGAGCGTATCTAATACAAATCTCTTAACTACATGCCAACTAGATTCTATATAACAAAATACATGTTATTCATTTAGGTTCTGATCTGACCTTTGGTAAGGAGAAATTAACATGTCTTGCTCCTCTTAGCTTCTTTTCCTGCTTTCCTGAACCTAGGTGTGAAACACTCACACGCTAAGTTATATACTTAGTGAGACATATGAATACATATGTAAATTATCAAATGCATGTACATATCATGTAATACAACGTCATACTTGTATACATACTTTTTCATGTAACAATTACATACACACATGCATTCCATCATTTATATTTTCTCATACTCTTATATGATTATCCTTTCTATCTCTTATCTCTTGTTCATATGATCTCTTATTTTCATATTCTATATCTTATAACATGTTCTTACATCATCATATGAGTCATTGATATTCATTCATATATATACATTAACATATATTCATGTACATCACATAACAAATGCCATAACCCATAACACACATTCTTTCCTATAACATATACACATATTCACATATATCATCATATAAAACATGTAACACATTTCTCATTACAACTCACATTTTATTGTTATCTTTTTGGTTAGCCCATGCACACTACTGAGAACTTAAGGTATGCGAGTACATAGAGGTTATGCACTATGCTGTCACCACAGCTCGTATAATTCCCACTAGGAGCACGTAGAATTTGTCTCGAATGACCACTTAAATGTCCTGAAGGACCACTTAGATGTCCCGAAGGACCACATATAACACATATATCTCGAAGGACCACTATGTCCTGAAGGACCGCGTAGACCCTCGATTCTTGGCATGCCAACTATACCTATATCTCTCATAACACATGACATGGGCATTATCATTTACCTCATTACACATTCACATATTCATATCACATAGTTCTTTCACATAGCTCTTTATCACATTTCATATGATCACATAATCACGTAGTTTACTTTCACGTAGCATTTTCCATGAAATTCACATTATTCATCCTTTTCACACATGGTCACATCACATAGTTCTTTATCACATTTCATATAGTTCACATATACCTTTTTCTCATATGCATGTAATCTTATGACTTATTATCAATATCTCATAGATCACTATCATACAACACACATCTCATAAAATGTAATGCAACAAGGCATATTCACCTAGATCACAAACATAGAGAAGCAATTACATCTCAACATATCCATAGACTCGAATTTCTCTAAACATCATATCACTACCTGCTTACATCTAGTACTCATATTACCTAATATCAGAATTAGACTTCTCGCAAGTCATAATTCCTTAACATAACTACACTTCATATCATGTACCAATAACACTACCAAGCTCTTTCTCTTTCTTGCGTAACTTACTCTGACGACCTATCCGAACATTGCTTTCGATCGATGTCTAGACAATCATGTATTAATACTTATCAGTATCCAATTGATATACTATAATCTATTAATTCTTAGACTGAAAGAAATATTTATTCCATTTCCTATTGAAGTGCATCGGTACATTCTACAGTGTATCGATGCATCCCTTAACAGGAGCATCGATGCACTACCCATGTATCGGTACACAATTTACATTCGATGTTTCCATTTTAATGGGTGTATCGATGCACTCCCTATGCATCGATGCACTCATTGCATTCGATGTTTATTTCGTTGAGAATGCATCAGTACCCATTGAATGTGTATCGATGCACACAACCCAAAAATTACATTTTAACACGAAAATCACTTCATTCTAACTCAATTATGCCATACTTCAACCCCTTTCATATCCTAAACTCAAACACACATACTTAAGCCCATTTGTACTCATTATCACATCTTAAATCTCCAAATCCTATCCTCTACATAGGCTTCAAGAATCATACTCAAATTTTATCATGTTTTAAATCCAATTTTAACATTTCATATCTCTTAAATAAACTATTGATAAGTCAAATTCTTCATTACAACTTTAAAAACCTCTTTCTATCAAAAGTTCATTTCTAAACCCATAATAGAATTTCTCTTCTTACTCTCTTTACTTGATGATTTAAATTCATATAAGCTTTCCTTAAGCTTATATAACACTCAAATAATCAAAACCCACTTATAAATCCAAGAATTCAACACTAAAATCAAACTTACCTTTTAAACTTGAGCTACGGGAAGGAGAGGAAGAGAGTAAGAAGAAGGCTTCCAGAATTCTCCCAAACCCACGTGTTTAACCCTTATTTAAAGGGGGAAAATATCCTTTAAGCATAAAAGACCAAAATGCCCCTTTAATTCATCCATTTATGCTATTTAATCCATCCTTAAAATTTCCTTACTTAAGTCCCTAAACTTTTAACTAATTTCTAAATTGAGCACAAAACTTTCAAAATTCTCACTTTAGCCACTAGCCCTAATTTTGGGATATTACAAATCTCCTCTCATTTAAAAAAAACCGTCCCTGAATTTTCACGGCACCCACAATAAGAACATATCTTCTAATGTTCTTATATTGTTTTCTTAACTTAATATTCCCTGTTTTCTGTTAATAGACTCACCTCTGTAAATCCATGTAATACTGCTTATATATAAACCCATACTTTAATC